CTAGTTATTCATAAACGTGAGTTCGTTTGGTTTTTTAAAAAAACGAGGAGGATCCTCGTGATAATATACCTTCACGCCAAATTTGACTAAAATCCGTTCAGCCGTTTTATTACAAACAAGGCAACAAATAAAAATACAGACACTCTTGCATAGTCACAATATTAGCACAGATGCATGGATAAGAAATAATGTACACACTCATTACATATCTCTAAATAATATAAAATAAAGTTGCTCTTTTTGTTTCTGTTTGTTGGAAACTTTTTGTAAATGTTATATTTTGTCTATGTTTTTGTAGTAATTATTATATTTTATTAATGGGTAAAAGAATTTGTAACTACACGATGTTTTGCTCTCTTTTTCTTGATCTCCTTTGGAATTTGTTCCTTACATTGTTCACGTAGTCTAACGCGTCGGATTTTGATAAGAGTTTCGCTATAATTTTGATATGTTAGGAAAATTTTAATGTTAGATAATATACTAACATCTTCATGTTCTATTATATATTGTTTAACAAAAGCATAGAATTGGGTTTGGCCTACTTAGATAAACTAATTCCAAATTCCAAACATTGCTTTCTTGATTCAATTATTTTAGAAATATGAAAGCGTAGCGGGTTTTGTATTAATTGCCGCATGCATTCTTATGTGAAATGTGAATACTATAAACATCAGATGGCAATTGTGAGTAGCTATGACGTGGTCTGGTGTTTTGAGTAGTCATGCTCACTAAAATGTCCAGACTTGTGGCGGCGTGGTGGGCCGGGTCATTGGGCTCCCTAAAATATGGTCGAGCGCAGTGGTGGCTGGCTCATCCGTCATACTCGTGAACGGGTGCTGCTTGTGTGGACTGGTCTGCTCTGACTTATTTCCTCTTATTAATTGTTTAACCAGTTGTTGTGTATTAAATGTTTCTTTTCTATTTTATTATTTCATTGAAAGTGCTAATTTGGTTTGTATTCACACACTTAAACTTAAATTGTAAGTAAGAATAAATTATTGAAAAGAGCAACACACAAGTTTCTTGCTTGTTCTTCTTGTGATGAGACAGAATTCCGAATGAGCGGTAGATTAAAAAAAAAAAATGTTATGACTATTCAAAAGTGCTTCAATGTAAGTTTATTTGAATAAATGATTTTCTATTCTATTCAAAATATATTATCGAAGCAAATATATCCAATATGGGTACAGAAAAACTAATTTGAATATTTGTTACATCATAAATATATTGAAAAAGTTATAGTGAAAGGTGAAGTATCCTTTCCCAACAGTGACACAATGTTACACAGTAAGTCAATTTTAACACCACATGTGCCACAACTTTAAAGCAAAAGTCAAGTCTCACAAAATCATTTAAGTTTATCACAAACAAAATACTTAAAGCGGATGTTCTCAGAAAAGCTTTGAATAATATATTTGTTATTTGCAGTTTACGGGTATTGTTATGATAATTATGTCAACATGCAAAAAAACTATATAATTTCGCACGCTGGAACCGGATTAAGAATCCTGATCAGAAGGACGCCAATAAAAAAACATCGGGTACATTGCGTCACGTATTCTTGTTAGGCCTTGAACTGTTTCTTCGAAGTGTCCACTAATACTGATTTAAGATCGAGAAAAGAATTTATATTACTGATGACGCAAGTATTCACATTCACACATATTATAAAACGTCGTTACTTAGATCATTACTAACCTGGCTTACCGACTTTGATAGTCAACAGAGAGAATCTATCCGATACCCAAATTTAAGTAATTCAAATTATTGACATATTCTTTAATAATGAAAATCAATAATAACAAACCAATTAGAACTAAGGGATGGAGGTAACATCTCATAAATTACACCGATAATCTAGTCGAAATGCCAACTGCTGCTTTCACCACAATGTCCACAGTTGAGAATGTTTTGAACTCCCCATTTGGGATCATAGTCGTAAATATAATATGTTATATATGTAAATATATATTTTCTATATATTTGCTCATTATGTAGCAATTTCTTAAAATATAATATTTATATTCCTTCCTCTATTATCTGAAAAAAAGCTTTTCTTGGCGTTTTCTTTGTCTTTCGTTGGCGCAAATTATTGTTTTACACTCAGTTCTAAATATGAATATATATTTTTAATTGTATAATTTTTTTATCATATCAGATGAAGGCTTATTGTATTTTGAAACTAGTTAATTTTCAGATACTGGTGATAAAATAATAAACGTCACCAGTAAATTAAAGTAATCGGTACCTAAATAACATCACTTACCGTAAATTGTAGTACCCATGTATATTCTCTTGGTATTTTGTTAAGTTGTTTAAATACAGGTTATAAATGTGAGTAATTTCGATACGTATATATTATAACATAAACTTGTACAAATTAGCCCGTATTATATGATTATATACTGTAGAAGAGTGAAGCAGGGAAACATTTTATTCACTTAAACTACTGTTTAAGAGACTTAAGTAAATTGTTGTTCATGTACTAGACGTTAGTAATTTTCCCCATCGTCATATATTACGTTAATATTTGTAAGAAAAATAATCCTAATCAGTGAGATAATACGTGTAAACAAATATAAGTGCAAACAATGACACACCCCCCAACCGCAAGTAACATCATTACCCACAATATGACGTGTCAGTTCTCGATTAATAGGTATGTTAGGGATGGAGTTTGACTCACTTTTTTGCATCCTGACTCATTCTGGGACCAACGGCGGCCTTATTCAACTATTGTTTTATTAATTGATGATTAATATGAATGTAACAACGCAATGGTATTGTAAAGAGGTCTAATTGCGTAATGTACACTGGTGTAATTAAAATTCTATGCACAGTTAATCTTTACCAATTCGTGTAGTGTAGCGGGCAGCAATGACTCAAGAAAGAAGGAATGACAATGAAAAATTCCAATAAGATTATATAGGCATATGTATTCTCAGTTGGTTAAATAATTGCTGCATCTTCGTTATGTTAATAAACAACTTACTTTGAGTGAAAATACATACATTCTGATATGTCAATATTTACAATTTACACCAAATACTTCTTATTATAAATTAACATAACTTACTTATGTATTAAGTCCTTCGTAGTGTAATTAATTCGTATTAATAATAGTAAAAATTGATTATATTTCAAAGAAAATTTGCCTGTTTGTTACCTTTCAATATTAAATGGCTGAACGGATGTTAATTAAAGACGGGAAAATTGTATCATGAAGACAGCCTTAGTCCTTCTTTTCTTCTCAAAAAAGGCAGATAAAGTGACGAGTGGTGGCTGGTTGTTTATAAAAGACAGAAGCTAATGCGATCATGTAGATAAAATAAAACAATTTTACCTATATTTCTTATCTTGACGGGCCGACCAACCCTACCCAACATTAATATCTGATACAGCAATATTACGACCGCGGTAATAGTTTTTTTCTATATATCACACTTTATTAAACTGAACTATTTTTATTTAGCTGCCTAGCAAAATATATTTTATTTTTTGAACACTTACTAACTTTCGGAATAACGTACCCCATTCGACTGAAGGATTTTCATTTTGCTGCCTAGCAAAAATTTTTAGTTTCATGAACACTTACTGGCTTTCGGTATAACGTACTCTATACTACTAACACTAATTACGCGTAACTGAATTTTAAAGAGATTATACCAACATTTGCATAGCATAAATCATGAAGTACTCTATGTGTCACATATATCATTACTTAAATAAACACGACGTCTTATACTTAAACAAAACTGAGTCATAGGACTTAAAAAGGATACATTTGATCAGTCATGTGGACGAGTGACCGAGTTCGTTGCACAGATACCATCGTCAAGTAGAGTTGAATGACTTAAATGACTCATTCTTTCACAACATCACTTAAAGGTCGAATGACGTATACAATGCACTTTTTAATTATTAGTCAACAATACGTGGGTGTTTTTTATGTAACATAACAATTGATGTAAGAGAAATAAGATATGAATTTCGTGTTTAATATAATGTTACGTATCTTATTTCTGACACAAAACTGTAAGTAATCATTTAAATCTAAGTAACTATAGTACCTATATTCTTCGTTGCACAATTGAAAAGTTACAATATCATTTTTAGTTACAGCATGCATATGCTTCAGATGTAATTACTGCAGTAAAAAAAATATCAGTATTGTGGTCCAATGAGTAGAAATAGAGTTTGTTGCTTACTATTATACAAATTTACATATAACAACAATAATAGTATTTTTGAGGTAAAATCACACACAAAGATTCCTTGAATTTGGTAAGAGTTGTACGCCAGATATGACTGCAAAGACATAGATAATAAGGCAGAGAGATACAATTATATATCAAAGACATAGTTACTAAATTTCTGTAGTCAAAAGACTTTCCGTTTTCGTAATTCCAGTTCCGAAGACGAATGCTGTGCCTACATGTGTACAGCATATATTTAATACTATATCTATGTAATGTTATCTGCGCTATAATGAAATTCTAATAAAAAAGCATATTGCTTAATATGCTTTTCGCGATAATAAAACACAGCAGTCCAGCAATGACAAATGTATCGAGAAGAAACATATTATTTAATTAATATTAATATATTTATCTATCTGTTTGTTATACATGAAAATAACTTATCGAGTTGCAACTAAATGTTATAGCTACGCAAATATTAGCCTAACATAAAAACTTATCAAAATCGGTCAAGCGTATTACGAGATACACCTTGACCCTCTGTATGAGTCTTTGATTTGATATTTGTTAATTGGATGTTTAAAATTGTCTGTCTGATTAATATATAGCCAAAACTTATGGAAAAAACACATTAATTTCTGTACAGGGATTCCGTATATACTTATGTAGTTTAAGTAAACAATATATTTTTTCCATTATATTAAAATGAGACTATTGTACTATTGACTGTCTTGTCTAGCTTATGCTTGAGGATCTTTAAAGAAATAAAGGCACATAAAAAGTAAACTGTGAATGTGTTACCTTAGGTGCAGAGATTTCGTGGAAGGAACTGGGTCGAGGAGCTGGACCAGCTCCTACACAGTCCACAGGTACGCTGTAGTCAGCACATAGAGCAGCCTGTAAAAAAAATGATTACTTTAAATATCTTGGCTATAATTTAAATTTTAATTAATATAAATTTTATTTTAATATAACAGAAGATTAATATAGTCTATACAATATGATATAAGGACTATCCAATGGTTTTTTTTAAATCGAATAGAGATATGCATACATACACTAATCTAATGATTTTACATTAATAAATTATAAGAAACTAAACCAATCTGGGTACTTATTACAATAGACAGTAGAATTTAATTAAATCTATTATAGAAATTTCTACCAATGAAAGACCTCTATTATCGAGACAGTCTTATAAATTTATTCCGTAATGGCTGGTCAGAGACAGCCTGTACTGGCTGTCTCTGACCAGCCATAAGAAAATATATCTCCCACTCAAAACGTAAAATAAATAAATTGTTCAGACTTAAGTAATGTACACACTAACATGATTCGAGGTCTGTTTCAAAGATTTCAAAAACAGTCGACTTTATATATTAGGGACCTATATCTCAAACGACAACTATAATATATGTATTATCTTGATGATGGCAAAATGTTACCAAAATGAGAGTATTAGGCAGTTTATCCAGAAGTTACGTTTGACGTGTGAATATATAATTTATCAAGACGTTCGGAAAAATCAAACATAGAATTTTTGAATAAAGTTCAAGTACCACAGAAACATCTTATACCTCGAATATCACTCGAATAACTACGTAGTTCAACATTTTTGACTGTACATGGAAAATATAAACAAACTTATTTATACCATAATAATAATAATAATCTTAGGACAATTAACAAAGCGCCATATAAACCCAACTTAAGTTAGCTAAAGCTTGTGCTATGGGCACTAGATAACTGATACAAATACATAGATATATATATTTTTTTTTTCGTAAATACATACATATTTTACATGGAAAACACCCAGACCGATACAAACAATCATACTCATGAATACAAATGTTGGTGCCGTGCGAGGAATCGAACCCGCGACCATCGGATGGATGGAGGCGATGTACTAAACCACTAGACCACCGATGTCGTCCTATATTAAGTAACTAAGTGAATAGCAAATTAAAAAATAAGGAAAATAAAATTTTCATACGAAATGGCAATCATTATCACATTAAGATTATCCATTAGTAGACGTATAATTGTGGATACAGCCTAAGTATCGCTTGAAAACCAATAAAATCGTGGCATATAAAGGGAATCCACCCTCATTTGCAAGGAGTCTAAATTAATTGGGCGCAATTATCTTTTTGTTTTGCCCCCGAAATGAAACCGTCGCTCGCCATTAATTATAACCTAGAACGTTGCCAACTTTAGCTGTTTTAGTATTTCACAATACATTTGTAAAGCTTTCGGTGCTAAAAGTTTGATAAAATACGGTCTTGTGAAATTTCTTCGGGAATAGTTAGCAAGGGGAGGCGGAAGGAACGCGAATTGAAATGTGTTTATGGAAAATTTTGTGTTGTTAGTGTTGTTGTAATTATCCATTTTGAAGATATCTATAAGACGACGACCTCGCTGGTCTAGCGGTTTAGCACATCGCTTTACGTCCGATGGTCGCGGGATTGATTCCACGCATGGTAAAACACACAAATATTAGTAATCATTTAAGAGCATAATGTGATTGATAAATGTAATTATGTGTGTTTTCTATGTAAAATATGTAAGTACTAGTTGAGCCCGCGGTTTTACCTGCATGAAATGTATAGCCTATATATTATTCTGATGTAGCTTATATATTAGAATAACATATAGGCTGTAAAGTTTTATGAAAATCTATTCAGTAGTTTTTGCGTGAAAGAGTAACGGTGGATGTTCGTTACTCTTTATATCAGTCGTCTAGTAGCCATAACACAAAGTCTGCTTTACTTGGGACTAGAATAGAAATAGAAACTAGCGCTGTGTGAATTGTCCTGATATATGATTATTAGCTATTTAGTAACATTTTTAATAGACTTCAGTGTATTAGTCTAGTATGCAAGCATTTATCTGCACACCAAATTATTCTAAAATTAATAAACATCTAAACGTCAAATTTTATGTACAAAATTTCTCATTTTTAACTTAGGTACATGTTGAATATGTATTTCCTGTAGGTATTTCAAATTAATTAAATATATCTATAATTATATTAAACGATTAAGTGGTTGAACATGATTATTGAATCATTCAATGTGATTACTACTAACTCAGGAATGTTGAATCATTATACATAACCATCAAATTACATAGATAGTTATTTTTAGTTATAATATGTTATATATCAATATGTACTGTATGACATAAAATAAATAATACATAAAACATGTTTAGACTATTTTAATGAAAATAAAATAAGGCCGAGATCAATGGCATCAATTGTAATGGAAATTGACAAGCTTGTTCTTTGTTTATTATTAAAGCACTAACATCTTTGTTTCTCCGTATCTATATATATTTTTTGTATCTATATGACATACATTAAAATAAATTATTACTTTAAGTAATTAATTATAACTTATGAGCTAAGTAATAAATAATTAATTGATCTTGTAGTAGTTTCCTGGTATATATTAAAATTAATATGCAATACATATATGTACAGAGATATAAATATAAAGAATAAAATAATATATACATCATAATGTATATATTATTTTATTAATTATTTTAAGATACATATATCTTATCTTTTAATACGTTATAGTACCTATGATATAGTAAACTAAATAATTTATCGATATAAATTTAATTATTTCTGAAGAATATTTATTATTTTCAAGTCGTACGTATGACAAATTTGTTTCGACTGATTGATCTGGACACAGACAAAAAAATGTTTAATCTTCCTTCAAAGTTTAACTAAATATTTAAAAATAATGATGTAATCGACTAAATAGGTTCTATATACAATGTAATAGAAAAAAATCGTCAATGGATATATATATATACGACCATATATGACCATGAATCCGAAATATGAATGTTTTAGGTAAAACGTAACTTTTTCTTATTATCTTTGGACATTTAATATATAAAAGACTCGTTACGTCATTACAAGTCACCCAAATCGCCCTTCCACTGCAAGATTGCAACGCCCAATTGACCACTCGCTAAAAAGGACTCCCCGCCAATCCGATTATCATAAGGTGCAGTCCAACGAAGCGTAAAGATAAATTAGAGATGACAAAGGGAAGATATTAGTCCCCCACATTTAATAATTATTTTAGCAACTGTCTACGTCCGTGGAGAGGCTATGGGTAATAATTACTACGATGTTAATAACTTTGTTAGTCCACAACTGAGCAGGGTTGCCAACCGCAGAACATTCAACCTCGTATTATAGAATAGAAAACTGTAAATTCTATCAAATTAGTTTGCCTTTTGACTTAGTTTGACTCTCTAATATGATACATCATGGTATTTAGATGGTTGATGTAGGTAAAATCTCGTAAAAAATAAACTTGTTATTTACTTATTTTAAAATGCCGTTGCCGTTAAAGGGTCTAAAATGTCGCATTTGTACGAAATTCAAAGTCCGAGCGAGTGTATGAAGAATTTACGAAGTTTGTTACAAAGTAGTACCTTTGTATTAAGTTTATCCCGTTAAAAATTAGTCTTTTTATTATTAATGATCATAAAACAGCTTACCTATTTGAATGTGGTTTTTATCAATGTATCGTAATAAACTCCCGTAGCATTTAATGGTTGTTTCACTTTAATTGATTCACAAACAAAAAAGTTAAGTGTACTGTACTACTATAATACTGTTGTTGCGAATAACAAGAATATAATGTTTTATTTTCAGCACTACAGTATAACTTTAATATTTACGTTCAAAATAACCATTATACATTTTTAATCGACTTTCAAAAGGATTTAAATTAAATTAACCTTATAGTTTTTAATACTACACGAGTCCGTACATATTCCGTCTATTTTTGTTTTACAATATATGAACTTGACATTAACTGCCAAATTATCAATGATTAATTGTAAATGATAATCGAGTGGCGTGATTTCTGTAAGGGTATACGTATAAAGTTTATATGGATATACTTGAATGTACATTTATAGAGTAAAGTCCATATTGATTCGTATATTATCACATAAGTGTTAAACTACATATACTTGTTAATCTGATTAAATAAATAAAAATTCAACCGGTAAGGTATGAATTTATGATTCGAAAATTGATTGCAGAAGATATTAGATTCGGAATTTAAAATGTTACAGTGTTTGTAAAACAATATTTTTTAGGATAATGTTGTATGCAGTTTTGACCATCGCCCTTGTGCTCGCTTTACACCAACTATAATTGCATGCATCTCAATACTAAGCTAAGCTACTGTCCGGTCACGAATTTTACAATTCCTGTAAGAAAACATTACGTTCCTGTGAATATGTTCAATATAAAATTTACAAATTCCATATCACTATTAATTCTTGGAATAATAATAGTTACAGTAATGATAAAATGTCAACGATCTATAAATATAAACAGATAAACCGATATGAATCATAGTCGAAATTATGATAAAACCACCTATGTAAAGTAAATAAAGTATATCTATGCTTATCTAACCGTGTTTCTGAGATTGGATGACAGTTAATATTGGGATATTCCAGTTTTATTTACGATATACGCTTATATTATCGAAAATTTGGATCCTCATCAAAATTGATAACAGAAATTGTAATATATGTATTTTATAAAAACTAAAATGTCAAACAATGTCATGCTAAGTGGCAGTAGTCGCCTTTATTATGTGACATGTGTGGTACCACTCGTATTAACATACCGGAGAACAAAGTTGTCATGCCTCAGTAATATGTAATTTCGCTAGCATACAGGTTACAAAGCAAACTACTTGACAGCTCTAATACATAGGTAGGAGAGAGGTACCCACAAAGAGGACTTTGTGTAAGATTTTATACGTTCTCTTTGCCGAGATAGACTTATCTCGGTAAAATGTCTCTGTCAATGGATGCATGTAAATGCACCTTGCTACTCA